AACGCTACTGGGCCAGTTAGACGCTTCTTTTGGTATAAAAGTTTCATCACATATTTTGGTCTCTTTTTCTGGTGAGCGTAATTCTTTTTTAATTAAAAAAATGGAAATGAGCCATTTTTGGGGTAAAATTTTGGTTAAGAATTGCGCAAAATAAAAGGCCTCGTATTAATTCTGGTAAAATTTAAAGCAGTTTTTTGTTTAAATATTTTTTGCCTAATTTTAACCCAATTTGAAAAAAAAAAGCGCATGAAGTTTCCGATGTTGTTCGTTTTCTCCGGTTAAGTTAAATCAGCACTGTGACGTATGGATGACTTCAACGCAAAATTGCGAGTTGTCACATTGGTTTTAAACTTCAAGTTTTCAGTCGAATAAATTATATGTTAGTTGGGTCTGCATTTTCCTCAGAATGTTTGTTAAAAATCATTCAGGCAATATTTATATAACATGCTTAATTAAAATAAAGCAAAAATAGCAAAAGCCAAACGAAATTTTTTTGCAGGATTATTCTCAATTTTTTTGAAAACTTAATATTTGGAGGGCATTACATTTCTGAGCCATTACTTTGTAAATTTAACGAATAAAACAGAAAAAAAAAACAGTTTTTTTTTGGGTTTGACGAAGATAACCAAAATGGTATTAAGCATAAATTGAACAAAAAACGAGCTCAAAAATAATATCTTGTAAACTCTGCATCGTGCACAGCAACCAGGCTCATATATTTTCAAGCTAATAATGGTACTGACTTTAACATAATATTATATTTCAGATCTGTTTAACTACTCCCCCCTAACTACGCAAAAAGGGGAGATTCGATAGTAGGTATAAACTGCAGACATGCTTAACTGTTGAGTTAGTTCATTATAGGTGTGCCGATTCGTTACTAGGTACCAAGGGGGGGGGGGGGTAGTTAAACAGATCCAATATTTCTAACCTTTTCCATATTAAGTTCAATAGTCTTGATTGTGAAAGTCAGCGTACAGAAGAATTGACCTTCCGGCTTCGTTTCAGTGTGAAGTTGAACTGGAATCTTCATTGTCGAATTTTTTTCTGCACGGTTTGAAAATCTGTACTAAAAATTTACAGACGCACGACAAATTGAAGAATGAGAAAAGAGCAAAGTAAATTTAAAATTTTGTAAATTTAAATACCTGCAGCGTTTTTTTAACGAAGGATTCGACGTAATTATAATTTTACACCGACTTCAAAAAGAAAAAGTAACAGATGAAGAGCCAATTTTTTCCCTTACAAGTATTTTTCGTTCAGAAGAAGGTAAGCTTTCAGATTCAAAGAGTTGAATTGTAAATCAAAATTGTGACCGCTAAACAGATTTTAAAATTTATTGGAAGTGACTATACCCAATTTCAACTCAAAAGACTCTTCTGATTTCTAAATAAGCATACAAATCCCTCTAACTGCAACGATTATGGTACACAAAGCTAAAGCTAACAAAGGAGTATTTCCCGCTGCCGTCTTGAACCCGTTTTGTTTTTATTAGAGTTGGAGGGTATTTGGGCTTATTCGTGGCGTCAAAAGGTAGTAGTAGTGAAATGGTAACTACTACTAGATAGAATGGTAAACGAAGCGTGTGAAATTGAGAGATTTCAGGCAGAATAACTAATTCAGCCTTCTAATGAAGTGCTATGTTGTAAAAGGCAGATAGTACTATCAGCAGTTCCGCATTAATTGTGTGCTTAATGCGTTTCTTTTACGCGTAAAAGTTTTTCTGCTCTCAAAACAGAGTGATATAAAAAATATGAAGAAGATGATGTTAACAAAAAAATTAAGCTATCTTGACTTTTCCTCGGAACTCTTTTCCTTCTATAGATCAATGGATCTTAACTTTTATCGTTTTAAATAAAAAAACTCCGGCCAATCGAAATTGCCAAGATTATAGCGTGTATATCTCACCCTTCTGTTTTTAGTCCGCAATGAAAATTTTACCAAATATTTTGTCTCAACTTTGTCTTTTTTATCGCCTGTCTGAATGAAACTCAATCGGCCTGTCGGCCATTTTCTGATAAAATCTACCGTGCAACGCTCTTCATTATTTTTCTCCGTCTCCTTGAATCCGGTCGCAACTGAATTCTGTGTTGACAGCAAGAGGGAACCGGTCTAAAAATTTAGCTAAATAGGACGACAGGTCATTAGGACGACATGACATTAACACGAAAAATGAGGGTTAAAACAATTAAAATTAAATCTTCGTATTTAAGCAGTTTACAATTCTCAGAAAAGCAATTAAAGATTTTTGTGTAGCGCGTCGTCTTGAAGTCCCATCAAGATGGCTGTCGTCTTATAAGCTGTCGTCTTATCTTCCGGACACATTGGTCTAATAAGCACATATGCACATGCACCTGTAGTGCACTTCAGCTTTGAGCAATCTTTTTATGGCCAATTCTTGAAAACACACGCTTTCAAATGCAATCATGCTGAGATTTTATTCGTAACTCCTTTTCAAAGCGGGTGGCATTATGGAGCGGTTTTTATGTTTAATCGTAAATTCACGCGCATTATTTTAAACTCAAATGTCTTTAAGTTGTCAAAGTTTCCTGTTTTCAGAATTAACAGTAATAAACAAATTCATAATTTCACTCTAATTTCATGAGCATTAATTTCACGACTTCTTGTTAAAAAACTCCAAAGTTTCCTCCACCCCAGCGATTAATTTAAATTAATTTTGCTAAGCGCTGTATATAAAATGCTCGATTCTGATTGGCTGAAATATCCCACTTTAGAACCAAGTTAACGTCCTCCCCCCCCCCCAAGCGGCTTTGGGGGGAGGATGTTAACGTGGACCAATAAGCCACCTCTCCCTACGAAAATCGATTAAGGAGGAGAAAGTTCAAATTTTTCATGAGAACGAAATTTTGCATATGAAATTTTGAAACTAATCGGGAAAAGTTTTCGTGAAGAGTGCCATGTTGATTTATTGAGATATGCCAAAACTGAACAAGAATCAAACGCGATATATACAAAAATAAAGTCAAATCAGAGGTTAGTAATAAATAGAAATAAAACAGAGGGTCGATTAGGCCCAAAAGTCGAAAAATTTTTAAAATTGTTTTAAATTATATTTCAGACTGAGTCAATTTTTTGAGAGGCTTCTTTGATTGAATTGAACAATTTAAACACTATAATCTAAGAAATTGAATTTTTTTTGAAAGTAGGGTTTGAAAAGTTGGAGGGATCAACCGTTTTAGGGGGGATAAAAATACTGGTTTTTAATATATCAACTTTAATGGCAAACTAAATTGATCTAATTTATCAAAAAATTAAATCAAAAATAACTATGAATACCTATTTGGTTAATAAACAGTATGAAAGATGTATTCCATTTGAAAGTTTTCTCAAACCTTCTGTTCAGCGTTTTTGTTCAAAATGAATATTTTCTACGAAATCAGTCTTCAAACATTAGGACGTGGCAAGGGGGGAAATTCTACGGAGGGTCACTCAGGGAGGAAGGAGATTGTACGGTTGATCCAATTAAATTTTATTTTTTTTTGTAACCAATACTACGGCTTATTCGATTGATAAAGTTTCTATTTGATTAAAAACGGTTTGTTCTCTACTTACTAATACGAAAAAAAAAAGTTCAAAATTTTCAAACGGACTAAGATTTGCGCATTTTCATGAAAAACATATTTTATACTGAACTAAATTTCAGAAATAGTTCATGCTTAGGGACGGCATTCTGCGGTAAGTCACTTAAGGGGGGATTGTACGGCTGCTGCATGTCTTCAACGTTTTTTTTTTGGGTCTTTTTTTTATTTGGCTTATATTTGCACATTTCCAGATGAAATTAAAACTAGAATTTTCTTAACAGCCTAAGCCCGGAACCTTTCAACTCTAAATTTTAGAGTCGTTGAAGTAAAACTTGATTAAACAGTTAATTTCACTTTTTGAATACAGAGATTTTTTGAACATTTTCCCCCACACAATGAACTGTACAAAATAAATTAACTCACATATTATTTGAATTAATTAGCGTGTCAAAGTTTGGTTGGGAATGATTTCTGAGCAGGATTACTTCACGACATTTCCTAAACGCTAAAAAAAATATAGAATACTTGAAACTATCGATTATGATTAATTTTGAGTTATAGGGAAAAAGCCAACGTATTTAAACGTAGCATGACTTCTCATGTTCCGGCAGTCAAAAATTAAGCACAGTTGTTTTGGTTATGTTTCGGGGCACGAAAGTTTTTTCATTTTCAAGCATGGATCAGAAATTATTGTGAATCTCGATCCAATTTGTTTTAATGAGAGGCGAAATCTTCGCAGTTTTCCAAGATATTGTGTTTAACTCGGCGATTCTTTGTTTCAAAACACCACGCATCAAGTAAAGACTTAATCTATTTTCCTCCGTTGAAGCGTTTCTTAGTTTTTTTGGTTTCCTTGTTTTTCTTGAAATATTAGATTCTGCGCTAAGAATGATTTTTGAACAGCACAGCTTTTTAGACATCACAAAAAATGAGCACAATCATCCAGCAGCGGATTTATGGGGGCCCCTCTCAGGGATTGGAACCCATGATTTTTATATGAAACGGATCAATGTAATATACGTAATATACTCTGCAGTTAGCGAATGGTGGTTTTCGGTAACCCAGTCACTATGGCGGACGTTCAGCCATTATAGGCGTCCTCACAACTAGTTTTCTTTTTTGGGAGAGGTCGAAGTGATTTTCTATTGAACGGAGGGCGGTACAAAGCCCCTATACAACATCTCTAGTTGTATAATAGCAGGCAGATAATCAACTTTTTGGTGTTAAATTTATTTGTGAAAAAGATCAATAACAAAAATACACATAGATTTTGCTCATCTAAAATTATGGGAATCGTTATGTTCTGAGTGGATCAAACTATCAAAACCGATAAACGGCGAAAAGAAGCTATTCGACTAGAATTGCTACAATGCTATTTCTTGTTCAATGCGTTGAGTTCAATAGAGAAAAAAATCAGTTTCAGCTAGAACCAACAGTTTTTGCTTAGCTAGTTCTAAGTCGGACTGGTTGGTTGTCGAAGAAAGACTGGTGTTTGACTGTGATAAGGATATCTGAAGTTTCGGATAGGAACTAGAAAAAGTTTGATGGACGACTATGTTCGTTTTAGATGTGCCAGTGAAGTTTAATAACTCCATTCAGATCATAAGAAAGTCCTTTCAGACATATGCTGGTGAGAGTTGCAAGTCAGGCTTGAAAAGTCAAATCACTTCTAATCTTTGCTTCAGCATTTTTTTCAGCAGATCTCCGTATTGTTGCCACTGAAAGCATGGAGCAAATTATCAATTATGGTAGATTCGAGAGTTAGAGTTCAATCATTGTAGGGCTATCAGTCCATGCGAATGAAATTTTGAAAGTCAAAAATTTCTCTAGCTCAAACCTAAAAATGCTCACTCGTAAGGTTTTTCATTGGCATTACTTTAGCTTCTTCAGAAAGAAAAGCAATCTTGACTTCTTTTGCAGCATCTGCGGAGGAAAAACCACCTGCGAAAGAAGTCCTAAAAACTGTCACCAAACATATGCAGCTCTGCTGGTCAACTGAGGTGATCATAAAACAGCGGTAAGTTTATAGACTTCCACGTTTAGGTAGTGCCCTATGCCATTCCAAACTTTTCTTTAAGCTCGCCTGACAAGGAATCAACCCACTGCTGAACAGAGAAACACCCGAAGTCCATCAGTAAAACCGGGCACGAACGTTGTAGAGTTGGATTAGACCGATCGAATCTGAAACGCACCAGGTGTAACCTAAGACGTTGCACTGCATATCAGTTTTGTTATATGTATTTTCACGCTAGGGCTAACGTATAAGGTATCCTTTTTGCTGTCTCTCTTCATACCTATTACGTGCGTTGTGGTGACAAAGTTTTAGTTGATTTCCTTTAATTGTCAATCTTGTTGATCTCTGGATATGACTTTTTCTGCTAAACCTGGGAAGTTGCTGAGAAACTTAGCTCAGCTAAACTCCTCTAGATTTTACAAACTTTCAAGTCCTTCAATAAACTCTAGCGCCTAGTTCGAATTGCCGATAGAACGTAAAAAATATAAGCGTCGGGCAAAACATTTGGCCCAAAGTTGTTTGTACGTCAAATTAGGGGTACCTAAAGCAAGTTTAGAAAATACTTATCAAGTGCACTGAAAATAAATGTATCAGACTTTAATTTTAAATCATTCTTTACAGAAGGCCCTGCTTAATAGCTGAATCTTTTTTTTCATAAGACCTCAATTTCAACTTTTCCGCTGAGCGTGAGGTTAAATTTTTCTTCTGGCACTTACGCTTTCCAACAAGTTTAGCTCAAATCCACGAACGTCTGCAACCTGAATCACAGAGAACAAGACTTTTCGAGCTGGATCTTTTGTTAGACCGTTTCATTTCAACAGATTGAAGGAAACCGTTAAAACTGAGATCGGACGTGGCGCAAGCAATTTTGTTGTTTCTACTTCAAGAATAGCGGAATTTGATGAGATTTTACCTCCTGCGGGTGGTTTGCTTGAACCTTTAACAGACTGAATTCTCTTGGCTACGTGTAAAAGAACATTATGAAAACCCACACTACTTCTCATCAAAAGGTAAGCAATCTAGGATGTATACTGATGGGTTTTCTTTTGTCAGACAATTTACAGTTTGAAGTAGATGGCACAGGTTTATTGATGTT